CCTGGCACTCTGCAGATCCCCGGGATGGGCTGTGAGCCCCCAAACTCTGCCTGGCACTCTGCAGATCCCCCAGGATGGGCTGTGAGCCCCCAACCCCTGCCTGGCACTCTGCAGATCCCCCGGCTGCCTGCCCACAGCCTCTCCCGTGGCATTTCGGGCATCGGGAGCTGCCCCAAAGGTTTGGGTGCGGGGCCAGACCTGGGGAAGGCCGAGCAGGAGGCTCTGCCTGTCCCACGCTGCTCCTGGGGCTTTGGGGGTGTTTGGGGATGAGGGAATCTCCCGGCTGTGGTGATGGGATGGCGGGGGCTGGATTCTCCAGGGATATTTTGGGCGTTGCTCCTGGCCAGCAGCTCATGGCTGTGCCCTCGGGATGCTCCCACAGGTGCAGGAGAAGTGTGACTACGACCTGGTGACGCCCCTGGCCCTGCTCTTCTACTCGGCCGTGCTTTGTGTAAGTGCTGGGGCTGCCCACGGTGCCAGGCTCCAAAATCAGGGTGGCTTGGCTGGAACTTCCCAGCCTGCTCTCATCAGTTCATCCCAAAAAGAAAGATTCTGTGTGAATCCAGAGGGATCAGGCAACAACTGCACAAGCTGAGAGACAAAGAAAATGAGCTTTGGGGGTTTTGAAGCTATTTTTTTAAGGCTGGGCTAATCAGAAAGGGAGATGGACAATAAAAGGGAATTATTTTCTTTACCCTTTATGGCTGGGCAAAATACACGAACAACATGAATGAAAAGGAGCAGAGCCTTCCCAGGAAATACTTTTTTTATTATTATTATTCCCAGCACAATGCATCATTATCCCAAGGAAATCATTGCTGCCAGATCCTGCATGAGCACAGGCTGTGTGGAATTCATCTGTACGGCTCGAGGGGCTTAAAAAGGAATTTATGCTTAGGCTTGGCCATATGAGCCCTGCTTGGGAAGGTTGGGAAGGAGCTGCTTGGAGCTCGGGGGGGTCCTGTGGCCCTTCCCTGGGAGGAGATGGGGTGGCGCAGGGGGGGCCTCTGCTTTGCTTCCCCTCCTGCCACTCCAACCTGAGCCCTGGAGCTCCCACGCCGCACTCGGGGTCTCTGCTCCTCTCAGCTCCCATCCTTGTCCCTGCAGGCCCCTCACTTCCCACCCGGCTCTGACCTGCTCCTGAGAGCTGCCAGTGTCTACCACAGCTTCCTGACGTGGCCCGTGCCCTACTGTGACACCTCCCGGGAGCTGCTCACCTTCATCAGCAACGAGCTCAAGGCGCCAGGTGAGCGCCCCTGTCCTGCCCCTGTCCTGCCCCTGTCCTGCCCCTGTCCTGCCCCTGTCCTGCCCCTGTCCTGCCAGCATCAAATGGGGGTCTGGCAGCACCAAACCCAGCCCTGGCAGCACCAAATCCAGCCCTGCCATGAGCTCTTCCAGCACCAAACTCAGCACTGAACGCAGCTCCAAACCCAGCCCCAAACCCAGCCCTGGCAGCTCCAAACCCAGCCCTGTTCCAGCTCCAAACCCAGCTCCAAACCCAGCCCTGTTCCAGCTCCAAACCCAGCCCTGCCCTGGGGTTTGTCCCCTGCTGCTCCTGTCTCATTCCCCCCTCTCTTCCTGAGCCTGGAAGTGCAGTGTCCATCCCAGCTCATTCCCAGCCTGGGATCTCAGTGTCCATCCCACAGGGATCTCAGTGTCCATCCCAGCTCATTCCCAGCCTGAGAGCTCAGTGTCCATCCCACAGGGATCTCAGTGTCCATCCCAGCTCATTCCCAGCCTGAGAGCTCAGTGTCCATCCCACTGGGAGCTCGGTGTCCATCCCAGCTCATTCCCAGCCTGGCAGCTTGGTGTCCATCCCTAACCTCACCTTTTCCAGGGCTCGGGACCTGCCCCCTCCCGTGAGGAGGTTCCCTGTGCCCCAGCCCAAGGTGGGACCGGGCTCTGGGCAGGAGCAGGGCAGGCTGCTGGCTCTGGCGGGTCCCTCGTGCGCAGGGAGCGTGCCGGGCTCCCCAGCCGTGCCTCAGAGGCAATTAGCCACATGGCTGAGCATTTCCTGGCTGGCTTTCAGTCTGCAGGGCCTTTTCCCCAGCAGAGCACGTGCTGCTGCTCCCCCAGGCTGCCCTTTGTGTGCGGGACAGAGGGGGACAGCAGAGGGGCCGTTCATGGGCATCGGGGCGCTGCAGCCTCCGAGCTGCTCTTCCATGGAGCTTTCCCGGGGCTGAGGCACTCCCTGGGCTGCTCCTGCCAGCCCAGAGCTCCTTGTGACCAGCCCTGGCACATGCACGGGCAGCACCAGGGCTCCTCTTAATTAAGGGCTCCCTGTGGATGTCCTGTGGCTCCCAGCGGAGCTCTTCCAATTATTTCCCAAAGCCTTTTTGCCTGATCGCCCTGCCTCTGGGGCTTTTGAAGAGCTGCTATCACACAGAGCACACTGCAGCCCGTGTTTGATCCTGGGCAGGTTTGGGAGGTCTGGGAGGGGGCTGTGCCCGTGTTCCCCACCCCCCCAAACTGGGAAGATGCTCTGGGGAGCCCTGGGGGATGGGAAACACAGGATCTCTGTCAGGGCAGAGATGGGGCTTGGGGATGGGATGAAAGGTGCTTCCACAGGAACAAAAAGATGGAAAAATCCCAACCTGTGCACTGGGAGCTCTGGACTTGCCGTGGCCACCGTGGGGCTGGCTGTGTCCAGCCCCATCTCGGAGCTGCAGGGACACGGGGACATGGGGACACTTGTGGGGCTCCCCAGCTCCCTCCTGGCCGTTTCTCGCCGTGCCCTGCTCGGGGCTGTGCTTTCCACAGCTCTGCAGGGCTCGGGTGCCGGCTGGGGGTGGCTGCCCCCGTTCCTGTGCCGCCCCCAGAGCCCCAGGCCGTGTGAGGGGGGCTTTGGCCCCGAAGTTTCCCCTGCCAGGGCAGAGTGGATTTCCTCCCCTGCCAGAGGTGCTGTGGGGGCTGCCTCTGCTTTGGGAATCCCTCAGGGGGGGTGTGTCCCCTGCTGCTCAGCTGCCAGGACCCTCCAGGCTGTTCCAGGCTCACCTCACGGCCCCTGCCCTGCTGGGGGGCCAAGGCCAAAGGTTTTTATTGCCGTGAGGGCAAAGATTAACGCAGAATGAGCCGCTGTCAATATTTGCCAGGAGCCCAACAGCTTTGATCTGCACCCTGGGGCTGATGCCTCTGCAGGAGGGTCAGTGTTCTGTGACCTGTGTAGGTCAGGGTGGCCCCCGTGGGTGCTGGGACCCCTCCCGTGGGTGCTGGGACCCCTCCCGTGGGTGCTGGGCTGGGGGATGCGCTCCCTGCGTGGGTAAGGGCTGGATCCTGCTGATGCCATGAGGTTTTCCTTCCCTGCTGATGGGGGTGACAAGGCTCTGCTGTTGTCCCCCACTGTCCTGGGGACAGTCCCAGGAGTCCCCAGGCTGTGGCTGCTCACAGCAGGGGGGTGGCAGTGACCTGCTGGCCCTGGGGGCTGCAGCACATGGCAGCAGCTGGCAAACATCACCCGTGGAGTTCCCACGCGTGTGAGCAGCGGGGCAGAGGGAGCTGGGGCTGAGCAGATCTCCTGCCCCTTCTGGGGGGATGTGCCCTCGCTCTGGGATTTACCCTTCCCATCCTGGCTTCCCCGCTCCCGGGCTGGCCCCTCAGCAGTGGCTGTGCCTTGTCCCCACCAGAACTCTCGGTGCTGCCCAAGGGGCTCTGCCAGCTCGGGCCTGGCCTGGGGCACAGGCAGCTCCGTGGGCACAGCAGCCCCAGGGCTCTGTGCTCACTGCTCTGCTCTCTCCGCAGGAATCACCTTCCAGAGGCTGGTGAGGACAGAGCAGGGGCTGCCTGTGAGGAACTGCCAGAGCTCCACGGTGTAAGTTGGCCAGGGCACTGCTGGGGCTCCCTGTGGCATCCCCGCGGGCTGGCACCGCTGCAGCGTGTCCCGGGGGCCGGGCAGGAGGGCCGGGCAGCCGGGCTGAGCCGTGGGAGGGCTGAGGAGAGCGGCTGGGGCATTTCCAGAGGCCCGGGACGGGCTCTGAGGGCTCTGTGCCGGTGACCCTGCAGGGTGGGGAAGGCAAAGCCTCCTCCCCGGTCGCTGCCGATCTCAGCCCGCTGGAGAGCGGCTGGGACACCTCTGATCCGGGATTTTGGGAGCCAGCAGCGATCCCTCCCAGCCCCTGCAGCTCTGGGCGGGCAGACGCTGCTCCTCAGCAGGGAGGTGCTCTGGGCTCCCCCGCGTCCAGCGGGGCCAGGCGCCGGCCTGAGCGTGTCCCTGTCCCCAGGACGGTGCTGCTGCTGAGCCGCTCGGAGGTGCAGAGCGAGTTCCTGTCCATCGCCCGCAGGCTGAGCTCCAGCGAGCGCCCCCGGCGCTCCGCGCTGCTGCTGCTGCTCGAGCACCTCTACCAGGCCACCTTCGGCACCCGCTGCGACCTGGAGGGGCTGCACCAGCTGCTCAAGGTGGGCTGGGGCACTGCCCGGCCAGGGCTGGGCGTGTCCCACCCGAACAGCGCTGCCAAGCAAGGAAAAGGGTTTGGTAGCGCTTCTTGGAGCAAAAACGTTTTCCCCTTCTCGGGTCAGACCTGAGGGCTGAAGTGTTTTGTCAAGTGTGTGCAGAGGGCTCTCTCCCATTTGTCCTGTCACTCCTTTCCCATCCCAAAGCGGAGAGAGGAAGGGCCCCCACATTTGAAAATCAGCGCAAGTGTTTGACCAGAGAAACACCTGGGGGAGATGCAAAAAAAACCATGAAGAAAACCCCTGGGGTGTTTTCCAAGTAATTTTTATTTTCATGAGAAAAGTCTGGGGGACTAGAGGAGGGCGGGGCAGTGGAGTGGGGGAGTCCCCGTTAGCGGCGCTGCCCGTGTGCCGCCCCGGTGGAGGGAGCCTGACCGTGTGCTGGTTTTCCTCCGCAGTCCAAGCCCCTGGAGGAGCTCTCGGAGCTCTACGCCAGCGCCGCCGAGGCGCAGGAGGCGGCGGCCGCCAGCGCCGACCCCGCGCTGGCCCGGGAGCGGCTCCAGGCCGCGCTGCGCGACATCGCCGGGGCCGCCGCCTTCCCCGGCATCGCAGGTGAGCCTCCCCCGGGCACCGCTCTCCTCCCGGGGCCTCCTGCCGGCTCGGGCAGCCGCGGGCAGAGCGCTTTTACAGAGCACGGCCCCAGGTCCTGCTTAATAACACACCTGAGCCGCGAAGGGTTTCATTTAAACAGCCACCACATCGGGGGGCCGGCCCTTGAAAGCGTCAAAGCAGACACCGGGGACACCTGGTGGCTGTGGCGGTGGGAAGTGTCCCCTTGTCCCGCGGCTGAGGACAGCAGCCCCGGGGCTCGGCGTGCCCTGGGCTGCCCAGGACACGCCGGGGGTGGGTGGCACCTCCCAGGCCGGGGGAACTGGCAGGGGTGGTCCCGGGGGACCCTCAAACCAACTCTGTCCCTCCTCTCTCCCCAGGCGAGGCCCAGCCCCGCAAGCTGCACCCCTTCCCCATCCCCCCCGCTCGCTGCTACACCTACAGCTGGGACCAGGACAACTTCGGTGAGTCGGGGCTTTGCTGAGCTCTCAGCTGGGCCCCGGGGCAGCTTTGGAGAAGTCGAAGGTTCCCCTTCTGCTGAGCTGGTGCTTCCCCATTCCTGGAAGGACCTTGTCTGTTCTTGGGAGGGCTCCGTGTTCTCCCCCGCTGGCCCCGGCAAGCACGAGCAGAGCTCTGGGCCAGCCCTGACAGGGAGCCAGGGTGGGTCAGTCTGAGGCTTCAACAGCCAAAGGCTCGGCTTTGCTCCCTTTAAACCTGGATCAGACGTGAGGATGTGCTGAAAGCTGGGTGGGAAGGAAGCAAAAGCCCAGGTGGAGTTTGCCTTTGGAGAACCCAGGCAGAACCTCGAGGAGAGAAATGCAATTTTCTTTGCCAAGCTGAGCCTTTTGTGGAAAATGAAAATCATTGGGAAGGAGGTTTGCAGCTCCTTGCTTGACACCGGGAGGGAGGAGAGCTCTGGCCATGGGGAGTGGCAGTGGTGCCGGGGGTCACCGCGTTTGCAGTGGTGCCGGGGGTCACCGTGTTTGCAGTGGTGCCGGGGGTCACCGCGTTTGCAGTGGTGTTGGGGGTCACCGCGTTTGCAGTGGTGTTGGGGGTCACTGTGTTTGCAGTGGTGTTGGGGGTCACTGTGTTTGCAGTGGTGCCGGGGGTCACCGTGTTTGCAGTGGCTCTGCTGGAGCCCGGGACAGACACCTCCTCCCTCTGGTTGCTTTCAGACATCCTCAACGACGTCCTCAGCAAGGAGTGCAGCACTGCTGAGCCCCTGGCCTCGGAGAACGAGGAGGAGGATGAGGAGGAGGAGGAGGAGGAGGATGTGGAGGCGGACGGCGGCTCCCCCGAGCAGGACTCGCTGCTGGCCCCGCTCTCTGCCATCTCCAGTGACTCCGTGTGCTCCGCGCTGTCCGAGGAGGGCTCCGGGCCCTCGCGGCTCTCCCTGCTGGCCTCCTCCAAGGAGTCCATCTCGGAGCTGACGGCGGTCTCCAGGAAGTCCCTGAAGTCCTTCGTGTCCAGCCTGAAGGACTGCATGGACAGCGGCTACGCCGAGGACAGCGACGAGAGCCCGCTGGACGCGGCGGGCCGGCCGGACGGGCCGGCCAAGCGGCGGCAGTCGCTGTCGGACCGGCTGTACCGGCTGCTGCGGAGCACGGGCCGGCAGCTGGGCCGGCACCGGGACCGGCCCCGGGCCCGGCCCGGGCCGCGCTCGCCGCCGCTGCGGCGCGCCGAGAGCCTGTGCGCGCCCCCGGCGCCGCCGCGCGTGCCCGCGCGCTCCCGCCGCGCGCTCTCGCTGCCGCAGCACGGCGCGGGCCCGCGCGGCGCCCCGGGGCCGCCCCGGCGGCCGCTCCCCGGCGGGGCGGCGGCGGGCACGCTGCGCGTGGTGGTGTTCGGCTCGGACCGCATCCCCGGCAAGCTGGCCCGCGCCTACAGCCGCCTCAGGTGAGCCTGCTGCCGGGGCCGGGGGCCGGCGCGGCCCGGCGCGGCCCGGCTCAGCCCCTCTGCGCCTCCCCAGGCTGCAGGAGAGCTCCTGCCCCTCGCTGACGCGCCGCTTCAGGCTGCAGTTCTTCTACGTGCCCGTGAAGAGGAGCGGCGCGGCCCCCAGCGCCCCGCAGAGCCGGCAGCATCCCCCCGCGCCGTCCCCCGGGGAGCCCCCGGCCCGGCCGCAGGTGGGTGCGCGCTCCCCGGGGCTCGGCGGGCCGGGGGAGCCTCGGGGTGACCCCGGTGCCCGCCCTCAGGAGCCCTCCCCGGCGGGGATGGAGAGCAGCACCAACGACATCTCGCGCTACATCGGCCTGCTGGACCCCTGGTACGAGCGCAACGTGCTGGGGCTGCTGAACCTGCCCATGGGCGTCCTGTGCCAGGTGCGTGCGTGCCAGGGCCAGGGCGGGCTGGGCCCCTTCCCCAGGGAGCTGTCCGGAGAGCCTCCTGCCGTGCCACGCGGACACGGCATGCAGCCGGGGCTCCTGGTGGTCCGCGGGAGGTTCCCGTGCCCAGCGGGGTGGGCAGTTGTGGCTGGAGGTGCCACCTCCCCCATCACCTTTCTGACCCCTTCTGCCGCCCCAGTGTGCCAAGGCCGAGGCTGAGCCCCAGGAGGACTCCCGGGAGCAGCTGCCCATCCTGGCGGACATGATCCTCTACTACTGCCGCTTCGCCACGCGCCCCGTGCTGCTGCAGCTCTACCACACCGAGGTGGGCAGAGGGAAGCGAGGGCTGGCTCTGCCTGTGCCACCGGCTAGCAGCCCCGCGGGTGTGGCACGGCCACCACGCGCTGCCGAGGGGCAGCTCGGTCCCCTCGGGTCCCCTGGGTGTCCCTGGTGCCCTGGCTGGTGCTCCTGGCTCAGGACTGAGAGCAGCTCCTGCCCTGACCATGAAGTCCCACGAGCAGTTTTCCACCCCAGTGCCTTTGCCATGCACAAAGCAGTGCCTGGCAGCGCTGCCAGTTTTTCCACGCTGCTGGAATCTCTCCCGAGCTCTGTTTCCCAGAGAAGCCCCTCCATGAGGCGACTTTTCCTCACCCTGCTGTGGTGGGGACGGCTGAATTTGGGGCTGCAGTCCTGCCTTGGGGCTCTGGCTGGGGACCAGCTGCAGCAGGGCTTGCTGAGCAGAGCCACGCAGGATTTGTGCTCCCAAAGCAACTCCCAACCCTGCTGTTGGCCCCCTGTGGGTTTTTCCCAGTGGAGTTTTAAGCGAGAACAAGGGGGTTGGGTTGTTTGGGGATCTGTTCTGAAGTCTGAAGTCCAGCTCGAGGCAGGCACCACCCCAAGCAGCTGCTGAAAGGTGCTTTGAGAGCGTGGAAGGATTTCCCCCAGCTGACCTGTTTCCTAAGGACTGAGAGGGGTGGAGGCTGCCTGGCCGGGCTGTTCCCTCACCCCCGCGTGTCCCTCTTGTCCCGCCGGCAGCTCACCTTCATCGGGGGGGAGAAGAGGACCGAGGTCTTCATCCACTCCCTGGAGCTGGGGCACTCGGCAGCCACGAGGGCCATCAAAGCCTCAGGTCTGTGGCTGCTCCTGCAGCCCCGCCTGCCCTGGGGGTCTGAAACCAGGGAGGGAAGGGAAGGGAAGGGAAGGGAAGGGAAGGGAAGGGAAGGGAAGGGAAGGGAAGGGAAGGGGCGCCTGGGCTGCAGGAGGTGTCTGAGGCAGGATCCAGACAGCTCTGCTCTGCTTTGGGAGAGAAACATCCCAGTCTTGGGTCCCCTCCAGGAGCAAAACCTTGGCAATGCCTGATTGTTTGTGCTGCTCGGAACTCTAGAATGGATTTACAATAAAACACCTCCAAGCCCGTTTCCTTCCTCTCCTCAGCACCTGCCAAACGCAGCTCTTGATCTTTCCTTGTTACTGCTTGCTCTTTGTGCTTTGCCCAAAGTGTCATTGCCAAAATCCCTCTTGCCATCTCCTTGTTTGGCTGGGCAAAGCCAGGTTTGCGCGTGTGCTTGGAGCCTTCTGCGTGGCGTTTTTTGTACTTTGGTGTTCTATTTATAACGCTAGGGATATTAAGAGAGGAGGCAGCGGCGGGGACGTGTGGCTGCAGTTCCTCCGGCTCCCAGCCCGGGATGCTCTGGAGAAGCGCGGCTCACACGGACCTCTCATGGCCAGCCCCAAAACTGCGCCTGACTGTTCCCCATGGCTTTAGCCAGCGGCTCTGCTGGGAGCTCCACTTGTCCTTCGGAGCAGAGCCCATAAAATTCCCCCTCCCTGCTCCCCCAAAGCCAGGCTTGGACAAAGAGCTCTTCCCCCAACCTATGAAACCTCCAGTGCTGAATCCAACCTTTCCCCTTGGCTTGTCTGGCACCACTTCGCAGCTGCAAAAAATTATCTGGGAGGAAAAAGCAGTTAGAAAATGTCAGGCCCGGTGTGTCAGGGCTAGTGTAGGGTGGGCAGAAACCTGCCTGAACCAAGAGCAGCTGCCTGTGGCCTTTGCTGCTCTGTTTTCCCTGACTCTGACCCTCTGCACCGGCTCAGCCAGAGCCACTGTCAGTTCTGCAGAGTGGTTTTGTGCTGTAATTAATCTCTGTATTCTTTATTTTCTGCAGCTTTTAAGCCACCTTTTCTTTTTTTTTTTTTTTCCTTTTTGCCCCACAGATGTGTTCAGCAAGCCCTTTTCCCCTTTCTGCAGCCCTGGGTGTGCTGCTGTGCCAGCAGCAGGGAGGGCTGGGGATGAGAAATGTGATGTTTGCTCCTTGTTTCCTGCAGGTCCAGGCAGCAAGAGGCTGGGAATTGATGGAGACAGGGAAGCAATCCCACTGACACTACAGATCGCATACAGCAAGGTCTGTGCTGGCACTGCTGGGGCACCTCCAGAGCTGGGGACAGCTCTGGGACACTCATGGCAAGCACTGGGAGGGGCTGGAGCGTGTCCAGGGGAGGGAACGGAGCTGGGGAAGGGCAAGAGCTCCAGGAGGGGCTGAGGGAACTTGGAAAGGAGCTCAGGGGGCCCTTGTGGCTCTGCACAGTTCCTGCCAGGAGGGGACAGCCGGGGGGTCGGGCTCTGCTCCAGGAACAGGGACAGGAGGAGAGGGAATGGCCTCGAGCTACACCACAGGAAGTTTAATGGGATATTAGAGAATATTTCTTCACTGAAAGGGTTTTCCAGCCCTGGCACAGCTGCGCAGGGCCGTGGTGGAGTCAGCGTCCCTGGGGATGTTTAAAAGATGTGGGGTGGGTGCTTGAGGACTTGGCAGGGTTACATTTAGGGCTGCACTTGACCTGGAAGGCCTTTTCCAAGCCGTGTGCTTCTCTCTGGCTGCTTGCTGCAGACGGCTGCCAGCGGCAGGAGCCACTGGAGCGACGTGGAGAAGGTCTGCACGTCCGTCAGGCTCAGCAAGGCCTGCAGGAGGCCCGAGGAGCTCGGTGGGTACGGGGCTGTGCCCAGGGCAGCGTGGGGGGCACTGGAAAGTGAGCGAGGTGAGAATGCAGGAGACGTGTGGGGTCTCCTGATGTTCCCCCAGCTGGGCTGTAGTCCTTGGGTGTGTGCCAATCCTCAGCACCACAGCAGGGACAAAGGACATTCCTGTCCCACTGTCCCAAAGCTTCCAGCTGGGAAAACACCCACTAGGATGATGCTGTTGAGGCAGGACAGGAGCGAAAAGACTCTGACTCCAAAGGCTGCTGAGAGTAAAACTCTGATTTATTCAAAATACACCGCTCTTTATACAGAGCTTCGTGCAGACCAACTCCATTGGTCCTGAAGTGAAAACAACCACACCATTGGTGCAGAGTGCTTGACACACAGTGATAGAACTTAACTATAAACAGTGTGAAAACAAGAGAGATAAAGAATTATATACATTATTTTCCAACAGATTCCCAGGCTTCTGCCTGGCTAGAAACTCTCGTTTCTCTCTGACTGAATCTGAGACCCACACTAGGGCTGGGCTGGATGGCTCGAGCCAGGATGCTCACTGGGCAGTGCTGCCTTCCAGAGTCACACTTGCTTAGTGGGGGGGCAGAGCAGGTGAAGCTCCTGAGGTGAGGCAGGGCCGAGGTGCTGGTCCTGCACTCACGGCAGCCTCCCTCACCCGCTGATGCCCCTCCCCATCCATGGAGCCATGCAGGCAGCCCTGGGAGAACAGCATCAGGAGTGGGTTTCTCGCCCCCTCTGGGTGTTGGGGTGGATATTCCTGCCCTAGTTCAGGGTTTGCATCAGGAGTGGGTTTCTCACCCCCTCTGGGTGTTGGGGTGGATGTTCCTGCTCTAGTTCAGGGTTGGCATCAGGGTGCCCTCAGCTCCTCTCTGGGGAGAAAGCTCTCCGTGGATCCCCGTCCTTCCCAGAGGAATGCGGTGCCCTTGGCCCCGGCTCAGTTTGACCAGAGGATGTCAGTGTGATTCCAGCAGAGGAGGCTGCAGCGGGCTCGGCAGAGCGATGGTTCTGCTGCTCTCTGCAGCCCAGTGTGGTTAAATGTTCCCTCCCGCTGTGCTTGGAAGGCAGCTGAGTTACAGGACACCCAGCAGCAGGGGAGGAAAGCCGGGGCTGCTGCAGTGCGTCCCCCAGCAGTGGGGTCCTGCTGGAGCTCCACTCTGGGGGTTTTGGGAGGCGCAGGGACCACCTGGGCTCCCAGCAGAGCCCCGGGCCATGGCAGCTCCCTTCTCTTGCAGCCTCGAAGACAGAATGTCTGAACCTAACCGTGACCGAGGTGGTCAAGAGGCAGAACTCCAAATCCAAGAAAAGTTTCAATCAGGTGACTCCAGCCCTGTGGCTTTTACATCCGGGGAGATGAGGTCGGCCTGGCCCAGCTGGGAGGGGAGCAGGGCTGGAGGGAGCAGCTCCCTGGGCCATCCCGTTGCCGCTCCCTCACCGCAGCCTGTCCTCCCAGCAGATCAGCGTGTCCCAGATCAAAGTGGACAAGGTCCAGATCATCGGGGTCCAGTCCTCCTTCGCCGTGTGCCTGGACCAGGACGAGCAGAAGATCCTGCAGAGCGTGACCAGGTGGGAACTGCGGCCAGAGCTGCTGGGATGGGGCAGCCAGACCCACCCATCCGAGCCCCAGGCTCTGAGCTCAGCCTGGATGGATGCTCCTGCTCAGATCCCAGCAGCCCCATTCCCATTCCTGCTGGGCTCTCAGCCCCATTCCCATTCCCGCTGGGCTCTCAGCCCATTCCCATTCCCGCTGGGCTCTCAGCCCATTCCCATTCCTGCTGTGCTCTCAGCCCCATTCCTGTTCCTGCTGGGCTCAGCCTCATTCCCATTCCTGCTGGGCTCTCAGCCCCATTTCCTCTGCCCCTGAGGATTCTCAGCCCCATTCCTATTCCCACTGGGCTCTCAGCCCCATTCCCGCTAGGCTCTCAGCCCGTTCCCTTTGCCCCTGAGGGCTCTCAGCCCACGCCTCTCTCAGAAGTGGTTTCCTGCTGTTCCCCTGCAGGTGTGAGATCTCCGTGTGCTACAAGCCCAGGGACTGTGACCCCCTGGCACCGAGGGGTTCCCCTGTGGCTCCCCAGGACCCCTCCGAGTTCCACTCCCTGCTGTGTTTGCCCATTGCCACCTTCAGCGGGGCCCTGCCCTAGAGGAGCCGTGTCCCCCAGCCCCGGCTCAGGAGAAGGACCAGGACCCCAGCCCTGCCTGTGCAGGAGCTCCTGAGGCCTGGAGAGTCGCTGTGGTGCCGCCGTGGGGCTGAGCTGCCCCTGCCCCAGGCTCGGCCCCTCCTCGGGAGCGGGGTCGGTGCTCCGGGGTCTGGGGGTCCCTCAGCGAGGGGAGACCGGGCACCTCCTGGGGATGGTAGCCGGTGGGAGGGCAGGGCAAGGACGGGATATTCCCTGCCAGGAAACGGTGCACGTGGGGTGTGGGAAAGGGGGAGCTCATGGGGATATTTGGGAAGAGGAATGTCCGAGCCTCAGCTCTGTCAGGTGTCTGTCAGCGCGTGGCAATTGCAGATCCCGTTGTGCTGGTGAAACACCAGCCCGTGTCCTGGGGGAATTTTACCTGGGGCAGGTCGAGGATGCTCGGGACAGTTTTTTGGGATGGGGACGGGTTTCTCCAGGTTTCCCTTCCCTCCTGGAGGCTGGGTGCCCTGCAGGGAAGCGGAGAGCAGGCTGCAGCACGGGCTGGCTGTGCCCCAGGAGCTGAGTGCACAGGCCACCCCAGGGCAAGGACGGGCTGGTGGATCCCTGTGTTTCCTGTGCACCCGGGAGAGGAATTCCCAATTCCTGCAGGATTCCAGCACGGAGCTGTGCTCCCAGTCCGGCTCCTGCTCCCAGCACGGTGTGCCAGAGCCAGCCCAGGGCCGAGCCCTCAGCAGCTGCTGGAAATCCATCAGGAGCTGTGCAGGACTCCCAGCGGGGAGGGCGGTGCTGGGGAAAGCACCGGGATTGCCTCAGGGCCACCTGCTGAGTGACATTTGCTGGAGAGGGACCCAACTCCAGCCCCACTGAGAGACACCTGCAGTGACAGCAGGATCTGAGATCTCCCCCCGCAAACATTCCAACCTCTTCCCCCTCTGCGAGGCTGTAGGTACGGAAAGGTGCAATATTTGAGGATATTTAGGGGTAATCTGACCCTATGAGCAAAGAGACAGGACTGGAAAAGCCTGGGGCTGTTTCTGGGTGGATTTTGGGGACTGCAGTGGTGCTGACAGCACAGGAGCTCACTGGCTGCTGCAGGCTCGAAGGAGCTTGAGCCCAGTGTTCTGTGCCCCCTGGATGGGTCTGGAAGGGACCCCTGGCCCTGCCGGGGCTGCAGGGCTCAGCCACAGCGGGGTCAGTCCCGGGGTCCTTGATCCTGCAGGAAGCAGGGCTGGAGAGCTCCTGGCGCTGTCCCCAAGCCTGGTGGCACGGCAGCGGCGTCACTTGAGGTCCAGCCTGCCAGGGAAGGCACCAGAGCTCCTGGGGGTGCAGGTGGCTCAGCAGAGGGGCCAGGATTGTCTGCTGATCCCCCCATCCCTGCTGGAAGTGCAGGGGGTCCCTCCTGTGCCCCTGGCTCTGCTCCCAGCTCTGCTGCCTGCTGGGCATGTTCTGTCCCCGCTGTGCCACTGTGGGCACAGCTTGGCCTGGGCCAGGGCTGGGCACCGAGGTGCCCAGGGTGCTCCCCAGCAGCTCCGGCTGCAGCTCCTGCCAGGGCCCGAGATGAGGGAGCCCCAGATGTGCCCCGCTCCTTCCCCCGCCTGACTCTGCCGGCCCAGGCTGAGGGGTGAAACCCCCCTTGGGCCCGGGTAGAGCCAGGTCCCTGCCCAGAGCACAGCCAGGCTGGCCTCCCAAGGAGCCACCTCGCTCACGGGGGCTCCAGGAGTGCCCAGCTTCTCCGGGTGCACAGAGCAGTGGGACCTGGCTCTGCCTGCACAGGGACCTGGCACTGCCCGGCCCTGCCAGGCTGTCCCTCCTCAGGGGTGCCTGGCACTCCTCTCTGTGGCTGCTTCAAGCCCAGCAGGCTCAGGGGATCAGAATCGGGGTGCAGGGGCTCTTTGCAGGGACTTTGAGGAGGTTTTTTGTCTCTGACCTTCCTCCCCCCGGCTCTGTGCTGGGCTCTCTCAGCGGGGCTGCAATTTGGCAGGGCTGTTCTTGGTCAGGGTTTAAAGCAGCACCTTGTCCTGCCAAACGCTGCTCTTCAGGATCCTGGGGTCTGTGCCAAGCTCATGCCAGGACAGAAACCCCTCAGGGTTCAGCTGGCCCTGCAGCAATCCTGGGAGGAGAATTTCCATCCCATAGAGAAAGCCAGGCACAAACTCCAGGGACTCGTAATCCTGGTGAAGGTTCTGACCTCTGATGTTTTCTGGAAATGAGAGAATTCCAGGGTTCTTTGGGGTGGTTTTTGTACATTTGTGTAGCCTTTGCAAATCTGTGTAAAGTCTGTTCTGATCTGTAAAATACTGTGCAGAGAACTTTTAAAGTAATTGTAAAATATTAAAAGTTGATTTATTTCCAGTACAGGAGCAGTATTTGGGTTGAGTAAGTCCCGGGTGGGTGGGAGGCAGGGGACGAGGCTCCACATCTCCCCAGAGGAGCTGACCTGGGAGCAGGAGAAGGTTCTGGAATCGTTGGCAGAGCCGATTCCAGGACCCAGCACAGCCCCGGGATTTCTCCTTCAGGTGCTCCAAAGCGTCCCCTCGCAGGGGCTGGCCTGGGATTGACCTGCAGGGGGGTCACCCCTGCACAGGACCCCCCTGCACAGTCTTTAGCAATGAAATGGTGTTCTCACCCTCACAGGACATCCTGAGGTGCTGCCCAGACATGAACACTCCATGCTTTATTATAACCATCTTTTTATCTCCTTAGTGCAATTATTTTTCCTTGAAAAAAAAAGTGTTGGAGATGACTCAGTTTAGAGACATGAAAAAGGCAACTGCAATGCCAGCACACTGCCAGCTTGGCTTTCGCTCTCCCCAGATCCCCTCACCATCTATGTTTGCTGGAGCTGGACTAAAAATAGCTCTGGGCTGGAGCCAGGGTGGGAAGCAGAGCCAGTGTCAGAGCTGTGGGAGCTGCTCCCTCCCAGAGCGCCCCGAGCTCACCGGGCTGGGCTGGCCTCTGCCAGGGCAGCTTTCCCTCGGTGCCAGCGGGGCCCGGGCAGCCCTGGTGCCTTTGGGCAAAGCTGCCCCGGGCCGTCCCTGCGCAGCTCCGCGGTTAAAGCAGCCCCGGGCGGGCAGAGCGCCCAGCGGGGACAGCAAAACCTCCCCAGGCACGGGGCAGCAGCGGGCCCGGGCTGCCCGGCGTGGGCACTGCCCCAAACACGAACCCGGCGGAGCAGGAGGAGGAGGAGGAACAGGCACGGCCCCACCGGCCCTGCTCGCTGCTGCCCTGGCACTGCCACCCTGGCACTGCCACCGCTGCTCTGGGCACCCTGTGCCAGGCCCTGCCCACCCTTCCAGGGTACAATTCCCAATCTCCTACCCAGCCCTGACCTCTGGCAGTGGGAGCCATTCCCTGTTCCTGTCCCTCCATCCTTGTCCCCATCCCTCTGCAGCTCTCCTGGAGCCCCTTCAGGCCCTGGCAGGGCTCTGAGCTCTCCCTGGATCCTTCTCCTCTCCAGGTGAGTCTCCCCAGCTCTCCCTGGATCCTTCTCCTCTCCAGGTGAGCCCCCCCAGCTCTCCCTGGATCCTTCTCCTCTCCAGGGGAGCCCCCCCAGCTCTGCCAGCCTCAATCCAGAGCAGAGGGGCTCCAGCCCTCAGAGTATCAGGAGATCACTTCAGGGGACAGAGTTTTTCCATATGAGGAAGATTCCAACGGCGTCAAAACCTCCCTGCACCCCACCCATGCACAGAAGTGACCAGGTAGGGCTCCAAAATACCTGGAAATCCCAGAGCACAGCGTTCGCAGGGACAAAGGGCTGCTTTGTCCCTGGCCTGCCACACAAGAGGTTCTTTCTCTGCTTCAGTTTGGTTCTTCCCTTTTTCCCCCCAGGCTTCTGACTGAAGGCTTTGTGTGAGCAGGGTCATACCTGGCTCTTCCTCTCTCTGTGGCCAGGAGCCGATGTTATCCGGGGGAATTTGGCAGTTCCCTGTGCTGCTCTGAGGGTTTCTCTCAGCTGTGTTTTGGTGTTTAATGACATCAGAAAATACGGGGAACCAGCCTCTGCTGCCCCTTCCGTGGGCTGCCACAGGAGGAAGTTTAATGGTGCTGTGGCAGAGGTGGAAAGGCAGGAGGGGAAGGGGTGGGGTGAGGCTGAAAGGTCCCAGCAGGACCCTTCAGTGCAATGGATTTTTGGGTTTGGATCCCGAATTTGGTGGTGACGAGCGGGTGCTGGGTGTGTGCTGTGGGCAGTGTCCTCCCCCTTCTCTGTGCAGGGGAATGGAGTCCGGTTCTGGGGCTGCCCCCCCGCCTTTCGGTCCCCTCAGGAAGGAAGGAGGTTATTTTTAAAGCTGGGGCCAGGTACGGAGCCGTACCTCAGGCTTTTCCTCGTGCAAGGGGAATGGGAAGTGATGCAGCGTCAGCCGCAGCTCCCACGCTCCCTCCAGAAGGATTTTCTTCCCCAAAGCATTCCTCCAGCAGAGCTCGGCACCTCCTCCCCTGCTCTAGGTACCAGCTGGGGTCTCATCCCACCCTGCCCCGCATCCCACGGGGAGCTGCGCTCATCTCCATATCTGGGCAGGGTCGGCCGTGTACCCACGGCCCTCCCGTGTGCCAGCCCGGGCTTGTGCCAGCCTGCCAAAGATCCCGGTGTGCAGCCGGGCCGGGCACCCCGGAGCCTGGCAGCCCCGAGCAGCCTCACCTGGGCCCCAGGTCTCCTGCCACTGAGGCAGCGTGGTGCCAGTGACACCCTGCCCTGCTCACCCCCCGGCTCGCTCGGGGCAGCTCAGACTGCTCCGGGAGC